GACTAACATTTGGTCTCTCTCAGTCTCAAGCCCTTTAATAACATCTATTTCCCTGTCATCTCAAGAGTAAAACCTGCATTAAAGAAAATTAAAAGTTAGGTAACAAAATAAACAAATACTCATGGCACTATTTGGGGTATAATAGTGGAGTTAAGTGGCTTATTAAGGCAAAAGGATCACATTTCACCTCAATTACTACTCATAGAGTTAGATCCTCGTTGTCTTATGAACCAGTCATTAGAAATGATCTGTGAAAGGTGTATTTTCAGAGTCTATTTAGATTGAAAACATTCTGATGTGTCCCGTGACTCTGGCAAGCTAAGTCACTGTGGGCATCATGGAGTAAAAACCCAGTTTCAATACTATATTTAGCATTACACACATAGAAAGATTGACTAGGTAAGGTTTCCTTTTAAGAGGATTATCACCAGGCTTTCAAAGAGGCACAAGCACCTCATTAATTGTTAATATTCTCATTGGGTTTGAACAAATTCAACAGCCCAGAATCATACTCAAACATATTTATTTAAGCACTCTGGAGATTCGTTTTGTTTTGTTCTAAATAAAATCAGGTCTTCCAGGATGACAGTGAGTCACACTTGCTCTCCCCAGTATGCTGGCTGTGGGAGAAGCTCCTTACCAGAGTTCTGGCCCATTCCGCAAAAATGGTACCTGCCCTCAAGCCCCGCCCTCTCCCTACCTGCACATATGTCCACTTTCAAGCCCTGGTTTAAAGAGGTCCCTGGCAACAAAGGAAGTACTATTGGGCCTGGGGCGGGGGGTGGGGAAATAACAGTTTCGGGAGGCAGGCCTCTCTCTCTCTCTTAAACAGTAGCAATTATAGTGTTTGATTTCTTTATAAAAATATATCAAAAGCAGTTTGAACAGTGCCTGCTTTCTTCTCATAACATAATTTACCAGCTTCCGACATGTATCCTTTGCACTTTCAATGGTAGGAAGTATCTCTGAGAGTTTCTCTAACGTGACGGTTGTCACCTGCATTACTTCCTCTGAGACACGGTCATCCTTCACAACACAACCACTTACAACTACATATACATGTTTGCCTTCACTAAGTTCTTCTGGCTGTATATCCAAAGCCACTTCCTGAACAGAGGCAGTGTCCACATTTCCACAGTCACCTACCTCTTCTGTAACTGCATTTCCATTCCACACAAATCCTGCAAAGGTTTTGGCACAATACAGATTTGCACTACTGTACAGAGCCAGGAATGCCTGTAATTCTTAGAACCTGAGTACAGATGTCACAGTAGCATCCCTGCCGGGGCTCGCAGTTTCACCAGGTGGTTTGACGTTAATCAGTTCGTGCAGACCTGTGAAAGGAGGAAACCAGGAAGCCCCACCTCACTCTGGGTGGTGCAGGGATAGTGCTTTCTTCCCAAATCCCACTCAGCTCAAGGGCATGATTTGCATAATAAAATAATGCCTTCATGACCTAATGTAGTCAACCATGCTTGAAGAATCTTAAAAATTACCTTCAAAATGAGAAATGTGCTTAACCCCATTTATTTGTTCATTCAATATTTTAACATTGTTTGAGGGCTTTGTGTGCTGAGCTATTTACAGGTGTGTTTGAGGGCTAGGACTAGTAGTAACTGTGCGTCCTGTGCTTTCCTCTCGTCTACACTTCCTCCCGGTTAAAGACAGTGGCTCCTAAACCTGCCTGTCCTTTAGAATCGCCCATGTCAGGAGCAAGCACTGGCACACAACCACACTCATTCATTGCTGTATGGCCTGTGGCTGCTTTGGAGTGAACAACAGCAAAGTCAAGCAGTTGCAACAAGCAGCACGTGGCCCGCAGAGTCTCGAATACTTACCATCTGGTGCTTTGCAGAAAAGGTTCACCATCCTCTGATCTAGGAGAGGTCTCTGGGCCAGCAGCATCGGCACCCCTTAGGAGTTCATTAGAACAGCAGACTTCTGGGCCCTGTCCTAGAACTATGGAAGTCCACTCTGACCTCAAGGACCTGTTAAACAGGTAGGTTTTTGAGACTCACCCCACACTACCATCAGAGGCGGCCAGAAAGGGGCCTTTATGTTCCCCGAGAGCATCTGACAGATGAACAAGGAGCATGGGCCCAGCCTGCCAAGGTTGCTGTGGTGCCTCTTGGAATCTCCCGGCAAGGCTGACAGCAGATCCTCCAGTTGCCAGGAGAGGTGGGCACCGCTCTGGGAATTGCCATCTCTGGAAGGAGTGGCCCCACCCAAGGTCACTTCCCCTGGCTAGAGGCAGCCTGCATCTCACACCTGGTTGATTTGGGGAAAACACCTCTCAATGCAATAGCTGCAGAGCTCCCCAGGTGATCAGCTGAGACCCTTTGCAACAGCAATTCAACTTCTCCCTCTGCCCTCTCCTGCCTCCCTCACCCCTCACAGGTGTTCCCTAAACCCCTCCCCAATTAAAGTCTGTCTCAGAGTCTTCCCTGACACTGCAGTTAGGAGTACAGAGTGTTATGGCAGGGATAAGCCGTGTCCATAAACACGAAAATTCAAGACACAATCAGCTTCCTAGAAGGTGAGTGCTGGAGGGGAACAGGTGACTGAGATGGGTGTGCAGGAGCTGCAGGACTCTCAGGAGGTGGGGGAGCAGGGGGTGGGACAGTGGGATAAGGTGCTTCAGACAAGGGGCAGCCCCAATCAAGCTGAGAGGAGCAGACTTGCAGGCAGCTAGTACAAGACAAGGCTAGAGAGAAAGCCTTAAATGCCTGGCTAAGACATTTGCATTCAGTGGGCAAAGGGAAATCATGAAAGGCGCTGAGCAGAATAACATGATAATGATACCAGCTGTGCCGCAGGAATCATCCTAGCAATGGTTTAAAAGGGACTGCAGTGGCAATGACCGGAGGTAGGGGGCCCATCAGAAAGCTGTTGCAAGTGACTAGAAGAAAGGCAATGAGGACAGGAGCTAGTGATGTTCTCAAGGGCCGGTTTAGAATCAAGACCACAGGGCTCAGAATAATCCAGACCTGCCTTACAAACCCCACTCAGCCACTTCCAACCGGCATGCACTTGGGCAGGCACCTCACCTCTCGGACTTCCCCCAGCTGTAAAATGGGGTAACAGAATCAGGTCCTGAATTTGTAATGCCTGGCATGTGCCGGGCATGCAGTGAACAAACCACTGAGGCAGCGGCTGTGCTCCTTTGTATCCGCACACACATCGCTCATCACCTCCGCGGGCAAACCTGAGCTGGCTGCTCTGAAAACTGCCCTTGAAAAGTGATTATTCTTGGACATAATAATTTAATGAGACCTGCATTTCAAACTCGCCTGTTGTTTATTGAGGTGCTTAAACCTGAATCGTCCCTCTTCTGGTGCGGGGGCGATCTCCAATTCCACTGTAACACCTGCCTACCCTGTTGTTATGACGACCGGTTTCCCAAACAGCCCTGCATTTTCAACAAACCCTTCAGGCTTCCTCAGGCCCAAAAGTCCATAAGCCCTTGAGACAATAGCAGGGTGATATTTTTGAGCTTCCATGGGAAATACTGCCGATTCTTTAAATTAGCCAATTGGCTATCTGCTCCTTCTCCAACAAAAGCGCTGGCCTGGGCATCAGTGTGACCCTGCACAGGGAAGCCCATAAATGTTCCTACTATTTGGAAATTGGTGCCACAGTGAATCAGCTGTCACTGACGTTCCCACTGATGTTCCCTATGCGGGAAAATGAAGCAGAAAACAATGGAGTGTCTACCGCGTATCTCACATCAGGGTCTGACATCAACAGGCCGTTCTAAAAGTTTTAAGTTTAGGAACTGTTGCATTATTTCTAAAACTAGTCCAATCCTAGTACATGCATTTTCCAGCAAATAGTCACCTTTATGAGGTCACTTAACACATGGGAACGTTAGAAACACAGCTATTATCATTAATGTTGCAAAATCTTAACACCAGTCATTATTATGTCCCTGTGGCTTCCGGCAGATCTTCTCTCCCTCCTCACTCATTTACTTCCTCTCCTCCTCCTCCCTTCTCCTAACCTCCTCTCCTCTCTGACGTAGCCCCAGGGAGAGAGGTGCAGTCTCCCTGCTGCAGCCTACCCAGTATCTGTTCTCTCTTGAAAAATGCAGACAGTTGTCTGCATTTTCCCCCATCACTCCCCTCACCCGACCCCAGCCAAACCCCCCCATCCCCCCACTTGGTTTTGACTTTGTGTCCTTTATAGTAGTTCCTGAAAACCCTTCCCCTCATTGCCCCCACCCCTGGCTACTGTTAGATTGTTCTTAATTTCAGTGTCTCTGGTTATATTTTGTTTGCTTTTTTCTTTTGTTGATTATGTTCCAGTTAAAGGTGAGATCTCTTTTTGTTCCCTGCCAAAAGGACTCAATATTTTAAGGGTGGTGTGTGCCCCGCTAATGTGGTGTCCCTCACTCTTGCAGCCAGACAGCCACATAACATACTCCTGGCCAAGGAGATTCAAGCAAAGCTTGCTGAATTTAGGACAGCTATTGTTTTACAGATGAAAAAAATAATAAAGACAGGTAGATCGCTCTTTTCCACATTTCCTCACTTCCTATTTAAAATAAGATGCTGCAGCCCCAGCTGGGTAGCTTAGTTGGTTCAAGTGTTGCCCTGATAGGCCAAGGTCTCAGGTTCAATTCCCAGCCAAAGTATATACTGGAAGCAATCAATGAATGCACAGATAAGCGGAACAACAAATCTATGTTTCTCTCTCTCTCTCAAATCAATAAATAAATTTTAAAAATAAAATAAGAAGATGCTGCAGCATCTTGCAGCTCCCAGGGAGAAATCTACATACCAAGGATGGAAAGCAATACACTCGAAGAGCATGGGTCCTTGCGAGCACCCTTGAGCAGGGCAGCCGCCCACCTCCAGACTTCTGTTAAGTGCAAAAATAAACCCTGGATCGCTAAGCCACCTATGTCTGCTTTCTGTTCATTTCCACCAAACACAATTCCTACCTGAAGCAACGGGTGAGGAGGGTTCCCTTCATTCAACAAATATCCCCTGAGTACTTACTCTGAGCTGGACACCATGCTGAGTAAGGAGATAACCAACGAATGAACGAGACAAGGACAGGCTGCGGTGTTAGGAAGGAAATAACCAGACAGTAACAGGAGAAGGCTGGTCTCTCTAAGGAGGTGACATCTGACCCGACAGCTGAAGGGTGAGGTGGAGTCAACCCTGTAATGAGTGGGAAGAAGGAGAGCAACATTCCAGTAAATGCAGAACCCTGGTGACAGGACAGTGTGTGTGTGTGTGTGTGTGTGTGTGTGTGTGTGTGTGTGTGTGTGTGTGTGAGGCGGTGGGGGTGTTCAAAGAACAGAGGAAGCCAATGTGGCTGGGACACAGAAAAAGAAAGAGAGGAAGGGGGGGAATTAGGAAGGGAGGGAGGGAGGGAGGGAAGGAAGGAGGTACTGGGTCACGGCTGGTATTTTATTCTATGCATAACAGAATGGAAAGCTACCAGAAGCATTAAACAAGAGAGTGACAGAACCTCATATATGTTTTTAAAAAACTATTCTCTCTGTGACATGATGAATAACTTGTCAGGATAAGAATGACGGCAGGCCACTGCAGAGGTCCCCGTAAAGACAAGGGTGGCCCGGGCTCAGGCGGGCCAGCGGAGATGCAGAGCAGACCACCCCCCAGTGGGACTGCCTGTGCTGTCCTCACCTGGAGTGACAAGGAGCAACTTGGTCACTGCACTTAGAATCCAAACAGGCTGATGTGCAGAAGGATGGAGGAAGGCGTTTTCAGAATGCTGAGGTGGCAGGAAGGAAATACAATTATAAGGTAACTGGAAGAAAAGATGGACAAATTCACAGTGAATGTTTTGATTTTTTTGGTATTCAGAGAGAAAGAACAGGATAGTGTCAGGAGCTATTACATGGGGACTGTCACAGCATATTGATGAGGAATTAATAGAATTTCCAAGAGGTTGTAAGAACACTGAGGTCCTATATCACTGACGTCATGACTTGCCCCAGCAATGCCAGGCAGCTGAGGAACAGGATGAAAGGATCAGGGGGCGAAGGTGACCCAGGATTCTGACTGGAATGACCAGCCCAGTGAGAGACTAAAGGGGGGGGATCCTGGGTGTGTACTGAGCAGCACTGAAACCCCTCACATTTGTGAATATACCAGTTCTTCTACGATTGCCATCCTATACTGTAGAAACTGGAACCCAGAAGAGCTGAGAAACTTGCTCACTTTCACACGGTAGGTACATGTCTGTTGTTCAAGTTTAATTCCTTAACCACTGACCTATGCTATCTCCAAGCAAAATAACAAGGAAGATGGTGCTGGAAAGAGCAGGAAAATGCCAAGGGACTGGAGGTCAAGATGCACGTGAAAATCTGTTGCCAAGGAAGGTCTCCCTGCCCGACACACATAGAAGCCAATATAAGACAGCACTGGCTTTTGAAGGGGGAGAAAAAGCTTTTGCTGCAAGGTCACTCAGCAAGCAGAGAGAAGTCAAGGCTCAAATCTTCTCCCCCCGATCCAGGGTTCAAGGTGAGATTTAAAGGATTTCGGCACCAGATCATCCAGGACAACAAACTCTTTGCTTGTGAAAGAGTCCCAGCACTTGGGTACCGGTCGTAATCCAGTCCCCTGGTCCCACAGAGGGGAGCAGTTAAGATTTTACAAGTACTACTTGTGAGTGGTGGTCACAGTGTTACTCATTAACTTTGGTTCTGGATCTTGTTAGAAATAGCACAGGACCAGTTTGAACTGGTTGTATGGTTACAAAGCTGGCCCGCTGGAGGAATTGTATGAAGTTGTGAACTGAGAGTCCAGATCTGGCCAGGTGGCCCCATGGTGTGGCAGTGCCACAGGGTGCTGAGTGGCTTAGAGGAGAAGGTCATGAGGCTCTGGGTGGAACTTCCGGGCTGGAGGGCAAGTGGCTAGCTATTGGAAACCATCCTGACTGGTTTCAGAAACTGTAACCCCCTGTGGCTAAGGCTGAGTAAAAAAAGACCTTGGGACCCTATGCCACTTAGGAGACAAAACTTATCTTCCTTGTAGGGGCACCGCCTCTGCCCCCTTTCACCTCATCCTTCGTGGCCCTGGGCAGATGACTGGTTAGCCAATGACGGGTAAGATTGCTCAAAGGAGGGATGATCTAAAACAGGCACAGCCACAAAGGGACCCCAGGGAAGGACTTGGGGGCTATAGAAAAAGGGGGTGATGGACCCTCACCCCTCGGCTTTTCCATAGCCTGAGTCTTTATTCTGTCTGCCAGAAGTCTCCTAATCTCTTGGCTGCCTTACTTCCCCTGCCTGACTGAAGACTGAAACAATGCCTTAAGCCTGAAACCATGCCAGAGGTGGGTGCGGCCCTGTGCTGGAAAGGGCAGGTTCCCCGGGGCAATGAGGCCTAAGAAAGAAAGCATAAAACCCTATGAAACCTACTTTGCTTAATACCCTCAATTTAAATGATAAAGGTCCAAGCGTGAAACGAGTTTGTTCCCCAAAGTTTTATTGCCCTTTATCGCTACCTGACCCTGACTCAAAATAAGCCCTTAGAGTTCTTTGAATATTATCTATGGTTTGATGATTACTGCCTGACAATGACTGATGAGCTTTATGTATAAGCCCTGTATTCCTAGGGAAATTAAACCCAGTAAAAGCCCCTTGAGGAAGGGGCTCTCGGCCCTTCTCCTTTGAGAGATAGGCCACCTTTCCTCCCCAAGCAGATCATGTCTTGGTAGACTTATTCTCATCTGTGGCAGCCGGAGGGGCCATGCAGGCAGAGCCCCCCAACAGCTAGCAGCCACTGACTCGGCCTCACCCAGCTGCCCACTAAAATGACCATGAACTCAGAAGACCAAGACCCACAACATCACCCAAAACAAAGACTTATAAATAGACAATCTAGCCCCAGATTCTGGGAGAATCTGGCACCACTTGTGAAGCAGATGGATCTAGATTAAGAAAAACCTACCCAGGCTTCTGTCTTTGCTTTATTACTCAGAAAGCACATGGCAAGATGTAGGCAGACACTCTGTACTTACCCCATGTGATGCAGACCCAGAGCTGGAAGCACTTGGGGCTGAGAACACTGGGCGGTCATCCGGCATGACCTCAGGGGCACCTGAGACTCAGACAGAGAGCTGGTCCCAAACACACGGACACAAGGACACCACACACATTCACATCCCGTACACACACTCATGTACCACAGATATCACACTCAATTCACACACACTCACACAACCCTACACACACCACACTCATACTGATGCATTCACACTACATTCATATCACCACACACTCACACTCACACCCAACACATACCACACACACCACACTCACACTCATACCACACATTCACATATACTCACACATACCACAGGCCAGGTTTCTACATCCATAAAGCAACTGTAAATTCCAGAAAACAGCTGGGCGGAATATATAATAAACAGCATACTTGGCTGAGTCAGTTGTGGAGGGTGGAAGGTAGTGAGAGGGGGCTGCAGGAGAATTATCTACAGTGGAGCCACAACGTGCGTTTACCTGGTATGTAATTTACCTAAATTCAACTAACGATCGTTCAGTATTGGAAGAGGAAAGGGAGAACACCCCTTTACCTTCTGCTCTTCCTCCTGCTCTTTCCCCCTGCTCTTCCTCCATTCAAACTAGACTTCAGCTTTCACAGCCTCCAAATACTTTCCTAAACACAAAGAGAAACAAAACAGTTTTTCCCTTTAATTCTGAACTTCCAAGCAGTTAAAGGGATTCTCCCAGACCCCTCCACACCTAAACAGGCCCCCAAAGAGGATGCAACACGCACCCTAGATGGGACCCAAAGGAAGAACGTGAGTGCTGACAGGGGCGTTGTTCTCCCATGTGCTTCTCCATACACTAAATTTTCTATGACGAACATGCATTACCTCGGAAGCCAGAACACAGCATTATTCTGCTCAAAGACAGTTTACCTTTAAGGAGCCCATCAGGTGCCTGGGACACAGGTGATGTGCTGAGCACCCCCTGAAGACCTGCTCAGGCACCCGGCACAGGGAGGGGCTGCATGAGCCCAGGAGGGGGTTCTCCTCAAGGACTCGAGTGCTTAACCTTGTAAACACTCGCAGGAGGCCCCCACTCCAAGTGGTTCATATTTTCAAGAAAGCGTAAGGCGGGTGGGGTGGAGGGGGCACTCCACTCATGCTCAGCAGCTACGGACACTGCCCGGGGTCAGAAACAAGAGACCTGGATTCTGAGGCAGGCTCTTCACCACTTAGCTGACTGACCTCGCTAAAGCGCTTCACCTCACCGAACGTGTTTCCTCATCTGGTACATGCTGATAATATTGGTTTTTGAGGTTATTTTAGAGTTATGCAAACTAATGTCCAAAAGAAAAAAAAAAACCCTCACCTATAGCAGATGCCCAGTAAGTGCTGTTCGAATTCAAATGATAAAGAAATAGACCCAATCTCAGGAAAAAGGGTGAGACAATGATCGAAGAAATCCTCTCATTATTTCTAAACGTTCACAGCGTTTGTGCTCATAAACATGTTTGCATTAGTTTTCTAGGCTGCTGGAACAAACTACCAGACACTGGGGAGCTCAAACAGCAGAAATGTACTGTCCCGCAGTTCTGGAGGCAGAAGTCAGAGGTCAGGGGGTCAGCAGGGCGGGGTCAGAGTGTTGCGAGGGAGGACCTATCCCATGCCTCTCTCCCAGCCCTTGGTGGCACTTCTGGCCTTCCTTGGCTGGTGGGAGCACCATCCTGATCTCCTGATCTCTCTTTCACCTTCAGGTGGCATTCTCCCTGTGCGTCTGTGCGCAAACTTCCTGTTTTACAAGGACATCAGCCCACTCGAATGACCGCATTGAACTGATTATCTCTGAAAAGACCCTCTCTCTCCAAATAGGGTTCCATTCTGATGTACTGGGGGTTAGGAGGGGGACACATAAATTTGGAGGGGACACAATTCATCCCCTAACAATAATTTTAAAAAGTTTTATCTCCAGAGAGATGGAGGGGTTGGGTGGGGGAGTGCGGGGAGGAGAGCATGTGAATGCCGTAGTAGCTAAGCTGGAAGGAGCTAGACCACAACGCAGCTCAGGGCCCACCCCTCCTGTCTCCTCTATAGATGGAAGCAAAGACCGCACTCAAACCGGCCAGAGAACCTGTGTAGGAATCCCGCTGGAATAGGATTTTCAACAGAAGCCAAATGG